TTTTTTTTTTTTTTTTTTTTTTTTTTTTTTTTTTTTTTTTTTTAAAGGGCGACGACCTTTTGATATCGTCATCACTGAAGCTGACCGGCCCCAGGTAATTCAGTTATTCTGGGCAGCTGATTGTATCCGGATTCAAACTTGAGTCTGTGTTTCAACAGTTCACGGGTGTACCAACTGAGCTAGGCTCGTTGATAAGTCAGTCGATTTGGAACATCACTTCCATGCAAATGAAACGGAAAACAAAACAAAATGAAAAAATGAAAAAAAAAAAGGAATTGATGGTGCTTATAAAATTGTGAATATGTGTGAATTTGTGAAAGTTAGTAAAACCTTCTTTATGAATTTGATTGAAGTAAAAATGAACAAAAATCTCCTTTATGCTTTTTTTTTTTTTTTTTTTTTTTTGAGGGAACGCTGGGCCTGTTTCCCAGCTTATAATGGAATTCTTTTGAGGGTCCTAGGGTTTGATGGGCAGTCATGCTACGAGCACCTCTTTCTTTGTTCTTTTTTTTAAAATAAAAATGAATTAATTTATATTTTTTTACTGGACAATCTAGTGGGAAGTTTTGATTCATCGGAGTAATGAGAAAATGGATTTAAATTCTTCCAAGAATTATGCCTCAGTCACTGAGTGTGAAAAACTGAATATTATATTGTTATTCAGTTAATCTATTCTTCGTAATACTTCAGTGCGTATTTCTCATGAGATTCCATCACACTCTCTTCCCCCCCCCCCCCCCCTTCCCCCCAACACACACACACATCCTTTCTATGCAAACTTCACATGTGGGAAAACCCACTTCACGTGGTGATAAGAGCATTCCCGTTAAACCACCAGTACTTCCTAAAGTTGTGCCCGTTAACGCTACGCGATTTTAGGAAACGTACGGGTCACTACAGGAGCGCCCAAATTCATCCAACTAGAAACGTTTCTACTCTATTTTTTTCCGCGGCCGATAGCTGGGCCAAGTACTGGTGGTTTAAGTGGGTCCCAGTGTTGAAGGCTCCATCTGTTGGTGGGGAGCTACACCTACTGGAAATCGGGTCCAGTGTCCCTGTGCATGGTGTGTGTTTGCTGGAAATCGGGTCCAGAGTCCCCGTACAATGATGTGTGAGGATGTTGTACTGTATATCCAACACTGTGTGAGTGTGATTGTAAAATCTGAATATCTGAATGTGCCGTATGGAGCTCAAGCCCCTTTCCACCACGTCTGCCATGTCTCCCTATAGAGCAGGAGGCATTGATTACTTCCCAAAACGAGGGAAGGACTGACCTCCTGCTCACGTAGCCGGAAACCCAACAAAAAACATTTCCATCCAACACCCCATAGAACAACCCAAATCAACCCACGAAACCTTAAGGAACCGACCTTCCACCTGGGGGACGATCTACACCACATCGTGATTAGGGATTGAGGGCCGGACAACCCCTAATCAATGAAAGGGACGTAGTCTAACCCACTCCCACCCTGTGCAAAACGAAGAGGATCGGATCAGTAGGGACACTAGGGAGAGACTCCACACAGAAGGGGGGGGGTTTGGGGGGGGATAATAGAACTCACATTGAAACTCACGGCCCAACCCACCATCCTCTTCAAACCCCTAACCCTCTCCCACGGTGCTGATGTCGTTGATGTTGATGTTACTGCTGTTGGTATTGTTGTTGTTGTTGTTGTTGTTGTTGTTGTTGGCGTCAGACCCCTTATTCTTTCCCGCTGTAAGCAAGCTGTTGCCACAGCCACCAGCATCGGTGCTGCTGTTGATGTTGTCGTTGTCGTTGTCGTTGTCGTTGTCGATGTTGTCGCCGTTCTTGTTTGTCGTTGTTGTTGTTGTTGTTGTTGTTGTTGTTGTTGTTGTTGTTGTTGTTGTTGTTGTTGTTGTCGATGTTGTCGTCGCCGCTGCCGGCACCGTTGTTGGTGTTGTAATGGATATGAGAGCGCTTGTCATCTACAATAGTGCAGCCGTTATTGTCGCTGTCGTTGTTGCTGTAGCTGTTGTCGTTGATTTTGTGGTTGTTGATGTTGCTGCTGTTGTTGTTGTAGTTATTGTTGTTGTTTGTTGCCAGTGTTGCCTTCATAGCTGCCTGCACCTCTGTGATATAGCCTTCCTCAAAAGATCATAAAGCCAACTGGAAATTTAAACCTTTAAAACACACAAAGAGTTACATGATTTTTTTTTTCATACGCAGCCACGGGATCTGCGGGAGGAGCCCCCGGAAGCCACAACGCAAAGGATGCTGGAATTTTTGCGAACTCTCAAATATAGACCCCAAATGGATGGGTAAGAATTGACTTTTTTTCTAAATGCATATTATATAAGTGCTTGAAGTGGTGAATCAGATGCCTCTGGAGGCAGGAGTCCCCTTTTTTTTTTTTTTTTTTTTTTTTTTCTTACCAGCCCAGACGGTAGTAAAAAGCAGTCCCCTGCTGATTATGCAAGTGTGCACAATTTCCACTTTATTGGACATTATACTCATGCTTCAATAATCAGAAGGGGGTTGAATGGGGAGTGGGGCTAATCATCGGCTTTCTGATTTATTTATTTATTGAATCTGTTAGGTCCTTGATCTTTTTTTTTTTTCAGTTTGCAATCAGGATTTGAATGCATGGTCTACTCATTAAGAGTCACAGGAGTGTAGGATTCAGCCACATGGGCTGGGTTTAATTTTCTTTTTAATTTACCCTAGAGTCACAGTTCCGATAGGCCTCCTTCTTCTTCTTGTTCTTCTTCTTCTTCTTCTTCTTCTTCTTCTTCTTCTTCTCCTCCTCCTCCTCCTCCTCCTCCTCCTCCTCCTCCTTCTCCTTCTTCTTCTTCTCCTTCTTCTTCTTCTTCTT